ACAACATAATATTAGTTATTGTTGTAGTTTAATCTCAGAAGAGGAACATTTCGGTTTTGCTAAACTTCTCTTTGGTGGGGAAGTTGTATCTCATGGAGATCCTGTTGGGGCTTGAGTTTGATTTAGTTGGCAATAGAAGTTATCGCAGTGAGGAAACAGGCTGGGTAACATCACGTTTAATGGCACACCGTAGAACGAATTCAGTAAATTTAAACACACTTGTTTACTGCCTTTCCTACCAGACTGTAAACCATGCAAGCAAGGATTATTTCTGTGTGGTTCTCCACTTAGCAAGTGCCTGGAATGTTCTCAGAATCAATACATATTTATTTCAAATCAAGTGATGAATACAATCTTTTTTATTTTTTACAGAAAAAAATTACCAGATGGTGTTTTGTTTACTTAAAAGATGAGCTTCTCCAGAGTGGAACCCTACAGTCGGTCGCCTTTACATGCCTAGCGAGGCACAATAATTCACACAGAGTACAAGCTCAAAGAACTTGAATAAATGAATAACTGAAAGAATATGTGTGTTAGATGCCACCAGTGGGAACCATATTCAAAGCTGTTGTAACAGGACATCACTGTAATTTTGGTCTGAGGCAAAGGAGAAACGTTTTCATCATTAACCTTAGGCCTGACCTACTAGATCAGATAATAAACCTGGATATCATGTCACATGATCCTGGGAAAGTAACTCAACCTCAGGCTTCAATGTCCATTTTAGGAACATGAGAATGGCACCTCTGTTCAAATTCTGTTTGAAGGCTGCTAAAGGCTGCTGAAGGCTGAGCTTCCAATAAGAAAGATGTCAGCGTAAGTACCTGCTCTTACCCGGGGATGGGAAACAGAAGCTCTGTTTCTATCATTCTGGTGAATGATAGAAGGCTTTCATCAATGCAAGTTACACAAAGATCGCCACTTTTCAAAGAATGCAAATAAACTTGACCATAAACAAAAGCCCATTTTGCCACTTCCTAATTCTGTGGCTTTGGAGGCTCACCCTCTCGGCATGCTTCCTCATTTATAAACTGGAGGTGATAATAGCATCTACCTTATAGAGCAGGGATAGAGAGTTGGCAAACGTTTCTGTACAATTCCATATAGCGATGTTTTCTGGCTTTCTGGGACCTATGGTTTCTACAGCAACTACTCAACTCTGTAGTTCTAGTGTGAAGCAGCCAGAGGCAATATACACATACAAAGGCATGGATACGTTCCAATAAAAATGTATTTATGGATACTGAAATTTGCGTTTCCGATTATTTTCACATAACAGAAAATATTACTCTCCTTTGGATTTTTTCCACCATGTAACAACCACACTTAGCTAGGGAACTGTTCAGAAACAGGTGTCAGGTTAAACTTGGCCCTTGAGCCATAGTTTGCCATCCTCTGTAAGAGATTCTATGAGGCTTAAGTGATGTCATAGTGAGGGCTCAATAAATGTCAGCTATTATCGCCCTTATTACTATTAATTATGTAGAAGAAATACAGAGTATGATGACAACCATGTAGATACATATATGAAGAAATTGTGACATGTTAACAGTTATATTAAGATAATAAGATCCAGCTTAAAATGTTTTTTAAAAATAAAACATAAAATTATATTAGAACAAAAACATAATTTGATTAAAAACACCCAACCCAAAAAACTTCTAACAATAATTATACTGATTATAAATTCTATCTTCCTTTCACAATTCAGGGGTCTCCTTGGATATCCATTATGCCCAGGGATCAGTGTTATGTATTAATTACCACTGTATAAGACAGTAGACATAGAAACCATAGGGTTAAATCTATGCTGATTTTATACCACACCAAAGAAGCTCCTTTCCTAGTAGATCTACATTCTACTCTTCTTTGCTCCCCTTATTTGTGTGTTTACTGTTATAAAGGAAAATAAGTCTATAATCTAAAGAGAGAGAAAGAAAAACACGGCCAAATACAGCACCACAGAGAAAGGGAAAGCAGTTGGAAGAGTGGCCAACCCAGTGTGGGAGGGCAGGTGGTTGTAGGTGGGTTGCTAGAGAGTTTCCTGGAGAGATGGAGATGCAGCTAAGTTCTGAAGGGGGAGAGCAGGATGCCAGAGTGTGAGAAAATATTCCAGATAAGGGTGTCCCATGGGAAAGCACCACCAGGCAATGGCTGGAGGCAAGGCAGGGCGCTGAGGGACTATAATGTGGGAGTTGGGTGTGGCTGGAGAGCAGGTGCGGCAGGACAGTGGGGAAGACGGTGCTAGAGAAGCAGGCGAGGATCTGTAGACTTTCTGTGTCAGCGATTTTCAATGGGTGTGCTGCAGGAATACCTAAAACATGCAATATCTGACTATTCAGTCAGGGGCACTGACCTCTAGTTCTTTAGATTGTCAAATAAAGAAAATGACAACAGCCAACACAAGAATAGCCATCTGGTGTGAATGAATAAAAATATACATATTTTTGGTGTGCTACAGACTTTTAGTAATCAGTTTAGGTGTGCCATGAGGTGAAAAAGGTTGAAAATCTCTGCTATATGCCACACTCATGATTTAGGATTGTATCCTAGTCATTAAATTGTCACTTGACTCCTGAGCTCCAGTTATTTCACAGTAAGATGGTAAAAAGGATGTCCACCTAGTAAGACTGATGCTGGGAGATGAAAACAGATAGTGTATTAGGTCCACAATATACTTTAGGGTATACTTCATCCTCCTGAAATCGATCTACTCAAAAATTGTTGTGAAATAACTTTCAACTGAAAGGTATATGCTTTTCCATAAAATATTGCAGTTTCAGAACGATGCCTGCATTTGATAGCCTCTAAGCTTTCAGAGTTGTTCTACAAGCTGATGACGGGTTGTTCATGGAGGAGAATCTCCTGGGCAGACTGGCCTAAGATGAAGACAGTGAAAAGTCTGCAGCAGCTGCAGTGGGGGGGGAGGGGGCAGCCTGCTCACCGGCCTCCGAACCACAAGGGGGCGTGGGACCCGTTCACAGTGCTACGTAAGAAAAGGTGCTAATAGAGGATCCATTCTGAATGTTTTGCTTGAGAGTTCAAATTTCTACTTTGTAATATATCAAAATAAATTTATCTATTAGTGAGAAATCTATCCTAATATGTTGATAAAATTATTTTTGTTATTTGTGTTACTTTAGTTTTTTATATTTCATCAATAAAGAGCTGTCTCTAATTCTTCAAACGGGGCCATGTTTTGATTCTATATGAGTTTCTAATTTGCTTTGAAAAAGAAGAGGTAAATGAAAATTATGTAAATAGGGATTATGGTTTAATCTTTGGATGGTAGAGGTTGTTTTTCATGAATCATGGGAACATGATTTATGTCAGATTGTTATTATAAATATTTTCTTGAAAAAAGTTGGATATGAGCTAACAATTATTTAAAAATAATTTTTAAAAGAACTGTTATGGCCCTGGCCAGGTGGCTCAGCTGGTTGGAGCACTGTCCCATGCATCAAAAGGTTGTGGGTTCGATTACCAGTCAGGGCACATACCTAGGTTGCAGGTTCAACCCCTTGTCAGGGCACATACAGGAGGCAAGCAACCAATATTTCTCTCTCATGCTGATTTTTTCTTTCTTTCTCCCTTCATCTCTCTCTAAAATTAATAAACATATCCTCAGGTAAGGATTAAAAAAACTCTTATACTTAAATATTGGAAATAGCATTCCAAATAGCTAGGGTCAGAAGCAAAAGTTACAGAGATTAATCATTCTCCCAGCTTTACTTCTGACATGCTAGGATTGCTACTGTTTTATATTTGTCGTCTATAAAAAAGAGAGATTGTACTTGTAAACCACAAACATCCAGGGTTAGAAAGTGGAATTTTAAAGAAGTGCATCAGTACATTCTTTCTTTCTTTCTTTCTTTTTAGATTTTGTTTCTTTATTTTTTAGAGAGGGGAAGGGACGGAGAAAGAGAAGGAGAGGAACATCAGTGTGTGGTTACCTCTGGCATACCCACCACTGGGGACCTGGCCTGCACCCCAGGCATGTGCCCTGACTGGGAATCAAACTGGTGACCCTATGATTCACTGGCCATCACTCAACCACTGAGCCACACCAGCAGGACATGCATCCATACACTCTGAGAGAGGGAAGATTCGGTTTCAGAGTCGTCATGTAAATCTAGTCCGGCGCTTCCGGCCTCTGTCCCACAGGACACCCTGGCTCTGGTTCCCACCCAGAGGGACTAACGCACCACACCCTTCAGTCCCTTAGAGACTGTTAAGAAGGAAAGTCTGTTATCTGTTTTCTCAGTTAATTGATCTCAGCACTGAATAATTTGTTTTGTTTTCTTCTCAATGGCAGTCAAAAAGAAATGGCATGAAAATATTAAAAAATTGATTTATCTCTCCAGGAGACCAAATGCAATATGCAACAAGAGCCAAAAAATGTAGTTATTACGTTTTGCCCAACTAATTCTACTGGGAAGAAAACAAGCAGAGGCATTATGCCCTGGAAGAGACAAACAATGGAAACAATCTTCAAATGCCCAATAATTGGCTACAGTGGTTAGATAACCCAGAATTATAAACCGACAAAATATTATGCAGCTACTTAAAAGGACACAAACAATGGCTATGGAAATACCTTACACGATGTGTATAAAATAATGCTAAATGCATTGTATATGTATATATTGATTGCAAAATGCAAAAAAACTTTGTCTTTATATAATACTGAAGATCAGAATTCAAAGTACTATGAGAAGTAGCCAGTCTACATTGTATACGGTGTTTCTTTTCAGCAGATGATTTGGGGGGTGGGTACTCTTTCAAATAGTGAAAAATGCTCCTGAAAACAACATATCACATGTTTTCTTACTTTCTCTTTCCTTTTAAAAATATGACCCCAAAAGGTGACCCGAACCTTGTATTGTCTATTTTCTCTCATCTTATTTCCCAAAGAAAATGTTTTATTTTTCTCCTGATAAACATTATGAACCTGTTTATTCAATAATTGAACTTAAGTCATTAGACATTCCGTTACTCACTCTTTGATGCGCCCAGGAAGTTCCTTCCTGCTTAGAGAAGACACACTCTCCCTTTTCTTCAATGAGTCACCCTTTCTGTCTTTAGCAATGTCTGACATCATCATAACCTATGGGAGAAAATCCCGTTGAAACAGCAAATGAAAGATCTGAAATCGTGTCACTTAGTATAACACAGAGATTCATTCTAAATAAAGTACACAGCTACTTTTCTACCATTTTTGAATGGAGAAGTGGGGTTTCCCTAAGAGTGATTTTTAATGTATGCTGTTATTTTGGACAATACAACTAGAAATATAATGACCCTGACGACTTTTATTTATGCAATAGTATTCTTACTTCACATAAGCAGATATTAAATCACAGCAAAGACGCTAAACTGCAGAAGAGGTTAAGATCATTGAGAAAAGAGAACCACGTGTAAAAGAAAGATATTATCCCACACCAGAAATCTCTAATTTTTATTGCCCCTTTTATTCTTGAGACAGTTTTGCTAATTAATATTTGTTGTTGTTGCTTTAAAAATTAAAATTCACTGTCTTCCCCAAAGGGTATTTTTTCAAGCAACCATGATTTACTTTGTAAAGAGTAAACAGAACTTTTAACTCAGTAATTTACTGGAACACCTACCTTCTTCTCACAACTGCTTGTTTAAAAGCTGGTGGTAGGAATGGACCTCCCAGACCTTAGACTTGACTGCCCTACTGCCTATATATGAATTTAGATAGTCGTTACAATTACTTTATAATTTTATCTGTAACTCTGAGGGCCCTAACAAGGAGACACTGGGCCTAACACTGAGACAGAACGAGGACAGCGTCTCTGCCCTGGAAGAGCTGGCAGCCCAGTGGACGGAGAACATGACCTACAGCCCAGGCACCCAGCGTCGGGGCAGAGGCAGAGGAAGGGTTCTGAGGGCACAGGAATATGGCAGAGGTGTATCGTGTCCTCGGAAGGGAGCCAGTGGTCTGTGTGTGTGTGTGACTGTGTGCCTGTGTATGAGGGTGTGTACTCTTTGTGTGTGTGTGCCTGAGTGTGTCTCTCTGTGGACATGTGCCTGTATGTGAGCTTGAGTGCACATGAGTGTGTGAAACTGTGTGTATCGGTGTGAGTGTTGTGTACATGAATACAAGTGTGTGCCTGGGTATGCCCCAGAGCATCTCTGTATGCACATCTGTGTGAATGAGTGATTATCTGTGTGTACCTGAGTGTGTGTGCCTTTGTATGTGTGAACCTTTGTGTGTGATGAGTTATGTGCGGAATGTGTGTGTGAACCTGTATGAGCATCTCTGTGCATACATGTGTGTGCTTGTGTGTGTGGATGAGTGTGAGCATCTGCATGTGTACACATGCCTGTGTGAGTGTGTCTATGTGGGTGGAAAAGACACTGAGAACAAGTGGGCCATTCAGGTTCCTATCCAAAGGGACACCAGCAGACCTCCATCTGCTCACCTCCGTCTCTCACCTGTTTCCCAGGCTGCCCCGAAGACTGGAGTTGCAACCTGGAGGCCCAGAGGGCGGCTGCCTGCAGTCGCAGGGTTGGCCTCTGGAAGACTTGAGCAGAATTCGGCCGCCGGTGAGCAGGCCGGGCTGGACCGCTCTGCACTGGGCATCACAGTAAAGCCCAGACATGCAGGGGGGGAGGGTGGGGGAGGGTGACCAGAAACCAGAACCCACTTCCAGTTCCCAAATTGGAGCCAAATTTGAGACCTTTTCTTATTTGTTGGGGGGCAAAGAGGAGTAAGGCGTCACAGAAGTCGTGGCCAATGCACCCCGGCCATTTCTCAACTCAGGGCCTTCCCTCTTCTGTCCCTGCGGTGCTCGAACTTGCAGTCCTCTTTTCCCTCAGGCTCCTGCGCGGGTGCGCTGCGGTAAGGGCGCGCGGACTCACCTGCACAAGGCCACAGCTGCAAGGGCGCCGCGACCGGGGTCTCCCACACCTTCTGTTCCTCCACTGCAGACACCGGCGCTCCTTGCTCCCAGGCCTTCCTTGCAGCCCCTTGGACTCCGCGGCCTGTCTCCAGGGTGACCTCCTCCAAACAGAGCCCTCCCCACTCCCCAGGCCGAAAGTGCCTGCGTGGTCCTCTAAGCTGCACAAGGGATGTCAAGGACTCATCGTCACCGCCCAGAGGGGGCGCCCTAAACCCGGCTGCGCCCTGGAGTGGATGCGAGATGGAGGGGAACCGGTTCGTGCTAAACCGAGGAGGACACCTGAAACTCAAGCTGCAGCCCCGCAGAGGCTTAGCCCAGTTCTTTCGCCCGCAGATGTCAGCAGCAGGAGTCGGAAATGCTGCGGTTTCCTATGACCAGAAATCCAAGGCGCAAAAAGTAAAGCAATGCCCCCACAGTCCTGCCGCTGCTTTCCAACACCCGCTTCCAAGGCATAGTGATAATTTAGTAAAAATGTACAATTACCTGATTCTGGCACAGTTTTTGCTTTATTTAATCTTCCCAACAGCTCTGTCAGAGAGCTGTTCTCCCTTTACAGATCTAGAAAGTGGAGATTCTAAGACATCAAACAGTAAGCCCAGGGCCCCCAGGAACTCGCGGGCTCATCTGTGCTTTGCAAACTGAATTCCTCCACATCACTCTCCCCAGCCTCTTAAAGGTTAAGAAGCTTTGAAATGGGGGTGGTTTGGGCTTGAGGACCTACTTGACATAATTAACAGGCTCTTTCCCCTTAATAACTTTCCCCTCCCTAACCCCAGAAGCCCTTCCCCAACCAACAGCAAATGAAACCAAACCTAATGGATCCTCACGTTTCCGGCCATCAGTGCAGGAACAAATATGGTAGCGCTTCCAAGCACCTAGCCTGGCGTGTGCCCCTTGATGAGTGAGTGCTCAATGCAGTTAGTATCAGCTGACAACAGCAATGCACCGAGATTGCAGTAGAGCCGCTAAGGGTTATTATGTTAGTGTTTGAGAAAGGACATTAACGTTTTCTGGCCTATTGCAGTCCCTATTCACAGAAAGATGAGAACAGGCAAGGATTGTTTATTGAAGATGTACTACACACTAGGTAGGAAGGGCGAGGGGACTGATAAATGTTATCTCATTTAATCTGTTCAATGGCCCTATCATAAGGGGACATTAATAACTCCATTTTTTAAGGTAAGGAAATGAAGAATCAGTAACAAGCTCAAGTCTTTCATTAAATTACACACCTGGGGTTTGTCCCCCTACAAAGCCCTTGCACCATGCCAGGCTTTTTTCCCATCTTGCCAACCTTAAACCCGAAATCAAATTTTCCAGAAATGTGGGCAAACTTGTAAGAGACTGGTATAATAAAAAAGGTTCACAGCTGAATTTATTTTTATGTTTCTCATTTATTTTTTCAAAAAAAAATCACATTTCAATAACCACTTACTCAGATATTTCATCCTGTTCTTGCATATAATTTAAACTTTGTTCTGAAATGGGAACCCTAGTTGCAATAACATGCCAAGATAAATAATTGCATATTTAGGATTTTGTGACATGGGTGATGGGGGAAATTATGAAGAAAAAAACATTTGTAAAATCATTATCTACGTAAAAACAATCTCCGCACCTTTTCTAATTTATAAGGGGAGTAATGTTGAAATGTTATCATGTTATCTTCAATGAGTCAATACCACACCTGCCTATCACCGTGGCTCAGCAGGGAGCCTTGCTGCAGGTCTGTTGGGGAACAGGCAGCTGCCAGCTTTGTCGGCTTTGCCTTGAGCACAGTAGAGAAGTAGTGAACCTTCCATCACAGGCAGCGTGGTCACGGCTGTAAGAATCAAGCATTCTCTGCTGAATTGTACCAGGAGGAAGAACAGCCAGCCATCGACATTTTAAGTCTAAAAAGCATACTTGAGCGTTAAAACCCACAATTCTCTTCATAAATATTTTATACCAAGACATTTTGTGGAAATTATATGCCCCATAACAAGGTCGTAAATTCAGTTAATGTTTGCTTCGAAGATCATAAAGAACTCTCAGTAAAGGCCACCAACTCAAAACATGGTATATACTAACAGCATTTTCCATAAGACAATGGACTGAGTTTTATTATGTTTACAAACACAGCAAAATTCTTCAGAGATTCTTTTCTGACTTTCTCTTAATTGTTTAAAAACAAAACATGCCTTACACTGTCACTGCATAGGCATGAAAGTTAAAATTTGATCATTTCATTCATACAGCTTTTTCTATACAAAGTGAAAACATTTTAAAATAATTTTATTGAAACCCAACAATATTCAAACAGTTTAAAAAGCCAGTTCTAGAAATTACTGCTTGCCCTGTAGTCCTGCTCATAGATGTGATTAATATATCATCATATGGACACTTGGCTTTTTCGAGTGTTTCAAAATTATTCAGCAGCAATTTTCCAAATCCCTTGTACTGAGAGATCAGACAGGAATGAATCTCTTTCACTTAATAAAGCAAGACTAGACACTAACCTGCAAAATCAACAGAGCTGTAAGAATCATCATTCTAGCATATCTCACAGAAAAGATAAAAGTATGGCTTTGGACTGTGGGGCATTGATCCCACAGTCCACCTGGTGCATCATCTAAAATAGTTTGAGCTAAAGATGTGTGAATAACATGAAACCCTTTTTGGGTTTTGCCCCCCAAAAAGAAAAAAATAAAAATGTTAGTGAAAGAATATACAACTGGACAAGTGAAATGGAATTAACATTTGCATAATACACTCACTCTATTAAATATTTTAAAATGATAAAAAGCTTGTGATCTACCAAGCTGCTTTAGAAACTCTGAATTAAACATTGAACTATATTTAGAGAAATATAGTTATTCAGCTTTACTCTTTTCTGTCTGAAAACAATTTACTCAGAAATTTTTTAAAGGAACTTTGTTGACTGTTTTGGGTAAAACAATTGATTTGAAGAATAAAGCAAAGCAAAAGAAATTGTGAAATGCTCATTAACAGAGGACACAATCTGCAGAATCTATGCTAACCAGTATATTCCTCATAGCCTAACTGTTTCTCCTGTCATTTCTAACGGGATTATATAAAGATACTGTCAGCATTAATCTATCATGATTTAATTTCTTAAAGCTGTTTCAAAAAATATCACCAAAGATTGCTCCCAAACGTTAATTCCACCCTGAAGGATCTTAGAACATGTTCAACAGGTGGTGGTCTGATGTGGTCATAGGTGCAGAACTTGAAAATGATACTTAAAATATTAAAACTGTTTCATTGTTTTGTTTCAAATATTTTGGGTGATAAAGTTAAATTTACTCTGATATACTATTGAAAGGATGTTCCTGCCATTTCAAATGAACTTAAATATGCAATTTAAGTTCATTTGAAATGGCAGGAACATCCCTTCAGGTTGAAATAAAAAACTAGAGCATCTATTCAAAACATTGCTGGCTATATCACCTGCAGTTGTTGAAAAATATGTAAGCTGGCATTAAAAGAAAAATTTTCTGAATTCTTCAAGGTGTGTATAGGAAAATGTCTTCCTGACCCAATAACTTTCTCAAGTTGCACACACTAACATTTATCATCAATGTCCAAGACATGGAGACTATCATATAGAATCATTTATTCTCAGAACACAATGAACATTTGCCAGAACCAGTATAACTGAACATGGTTTGGAAAATACTGGAATGCTGGGGATACAGCAGAAGCATCCTTGACTTATTTTCACATAAAAATATATTTGCTTTTCATTGAAATATCCTTTACGGTTAAATAGGCAATGTATTTAGAACAGACAATGTTACTCTAGGGATAGACAGGGGCAATCAGAAATACTAAATCAAAGGGAAAATAACCTTGGAAATTAAACCGAGAGAATAAATTTTTATATCCAGGTGAATGCCAACAAGGAGGTGCCTTTCTTTCATAGGAATACTCATTTGGCTATAAACCAGATATTAAATATAAGGGACAATCAAGAGGTCTGATCATGGTCAACTCAACAGATACTAAATTTTGACATTTCTTCAGGAAGAATATTTAGATTTTAATTATATATTAAAAATGCAACTCTAGCCTACAGAAGACAGAACATAAATGCCACAACAAAAGAGATAAGCTAGTGGGTTTTTCATTGTTGTTTTTGTTTGTTTTTAATATTTGGAGACTTAGACATTGTATTCCCAGCCCACTTTTCTTCCACACATTTCATGCACCAAAACTAATGTAATTACATTCAGTTCAATTCATGAATGAGTGAATGTCATTTAAATGTTATTTGCCAAATGAAAAAAAAAAGGAGCAAGAAAATACAACAAAGCTTCCAGAGAAGTGCGCTCAGTCGAAAAGGGTGGGCGGGTCATCTGAATAGAATCTTTGTTCGGTGTAACTTGAATTGATGTGTTTATACCACAATTTGACTCATTTCAAGAAAACATGTTTACTTGTAATATCAACTTCTAAAGCAATATCCAGAGATCACCCTTATTTTGATATCATAAAAATTATGCTTCCATTTTAAAAAATTGATAACCCTAAACCATGTACAAAGTGAGTACATTTGGATTGAATGGAACTGTGTCAAATGCATAATCTTTTGGGAAAAAGAAAGCTTAATAAAAAACAAACCCACACACTCATCTCCTTAGTAGATATCTGCACATTTTATGGTGTCATTCACTTTCATTGATAGCCTGCAATTGTTTTGGGGAAAAAAAAAGATTAGCACAACGCTTTTCGAAGGACACTAGTTCATGCTTATGAAGCTTCCAGTTCAAATGTCTGCAAAATAAATGGGTCCATTTCCAAGTTAGACACCTGGGTTTCCCTTGTGAGGAGGAGACATTTGTTAGGACTTTGTGTTCGGAATGAACCCCTGCTTACAATCTCCCTGCTGCTGCTTCTACTCTTTCAAGACATTGAGGAAAAGGAAACACAAAAATGAGAGGAGGCATTGTAGGTCACTTTGAGACAGCATAACAGGAGAGCTGTAAGGGAAAGATAAGAGATTTTCCTGGAAAAACCCCTTTCTACATTTCTAAGATTGGAGGATCTTCAATGGGCTGAGAAAAAGAAATTCACTAGAAAAAATGGTATTTGACTTAGAACTGAATGTTTAAAATCTGATATAATGTCAGAACTTAGAAGGGCCT